AGGAGATGTGCGCTGTGCTCGGCACATCTCATCACGGAGACGCCTCGGAAGTTACATTTATACAGCAGGTACTGAGCTACAGAGCGTATGTAACCCTTATGCTTAAGCTGTTGCAGCTAAGGCATTAGGCATGCAGGAGATAAGCCCTAATGATGCGTCTCTGTTAGCTGGTTGCTCTGAAAAATACCTACAGGTATCTGGAGAGAGCTGTTTGCCAGGAACTCAGTGGATTGAGCTATTTATTGATTTTTAAGGATGAAATACAGCTATTACAAAGAAAAAGACTTAGGCAGGCAGGCAGCTTCTTTTTGGAACAACTCTCTTGCACAACTATGTAAGAGAGCCACTGTTAACCCCACTCTTTTTCTCAGAGATACTCTTGAAATTTTAATTCTCCCAGCAAGTAATAGTGCTTAGAAGGCTAAGAAAAAGCCTCTCATATTTCTGGAGAGAGTTTGAACAGTGCTGGATTAACATTCACATTTCAAGTCACAGCCCTAGACCAGTTCTTGCTGCCCAGACCTGCGTATTCCAATGTTCTGTCCTCACGGACTTAACATCTCTCAAGTTCAAGAGGATTTGTGAAATTACTGAATGGTCTTTGTTCTCCTGACAAAATTCCTCTCTATGATTAAACTTAGCACTTTACCCTAGCTGGTCCCTTCCTCTTTGCAGGGAAATCTCTCTGCATTTACTGTTCTGACAGAAAAATAGTGAAGGTGACATTTGCTCAATTTATTGTTTAGTGGCACTATTTTTCAGATGAGAATTTCCCAGAGCGAATGTTTTCAGGTTGATCTTTAAGCAAGAACAGACGTATGTGGCGTTGTGCTGACGTGGTTTTCCTGATGAGTTGGAGTAGAACCTTTCCTACCGTTAAAGGAAAAATGCACGCGTTTAGGTACTTGCTGAGCTGCCTGTTACGGAGTTCGGGAGCCTCAAATACCACTCGCCGTTTGCCAAATGTAAAGATGAAAAGGAAAGGGGAAAAACTATTACTTTATAGTACTTGAAGTAACATCCCCCAAATGTTTACTGCTGCTCTTATGGGCCCATTCAGGAGGTGAACAAAGGGATGGTAAACAAATTGTTTACATCTTTTCATCCCATTACTATTGCTCTAACTTTCCAGCTGAATAACAGATTGCTATTTTTCAGGCTACCCATCTGATAGGAGTTAGTGTTATCTACTTAAGGGTCAGATTTTTTCCGTTGGGATTGGCAGATCTAAGACGGTGTTACTTCACACAAAAAATCAAACTTGAACATTAATCTTCTACAACACAAGCCTGGTAATCCTAGCCTCTGCAGATTAAATGTTGGCCTCCTCCTGTTGCCACTGAAGTGAACAAAATTTCACAGGTTCTCCATTTCAGAGGAGCATTGAGGAAGGACCCACACCGGTTACCTCCTTCCCTATGCTGAGAACTTTCTGATGATGACCAGAAGGAGAGTCTCAGATGAGATCCTTGGGGACAACTGCACCTAATATAGTGATGTTTAAGGAGCATTTAAGAGGAGAGATTTTCTCCCAGTTAACAGTTCAAATTTGGCTGCAAGAGCTCAGTGAAGCCTCTCCATTTCCCAACAGCCAATGTGCTGGCCTGCTCCTCTGGTGCTTGGCCTCAAGACTAAATATGTTCTAGTTTTGTGGGTTCATTACTGAAGTGCAGAATACACCTACTCTGGCAACTCTTTCACTTCACAGCCTGAATTCACATTCATTTCTAATCATGGAATTGAAGCCCTGTAATAAATTCTGGTATGTGATCCTAGTCAGTTTTATCCTCTGTGAGGGATTAAAACAGCTAATACCCCTGTTCCTCTGACACAGAGAAGCTTGCCATGTCCAAGCATTTTACAGTATGAACCCTCTTTATCAGCTGGGAAACTCCCCCTTGCTCTCATCTCTTTAAATGAGGACCAGCCTAGCTCAGTTAAGTTGAAGAGAAGCTGTTTTCAGAAGAAAACGTCTTCTAGAAAGCAATTTTGTGTAAAAATCAGTGAGCAGCTGGTGGATGGAGAGACACTCGGAAAACAAGGAACTCCCCTACTGAGGTCAGCAGTTTGCCCTGTCATCACTACATGCAAAAAATCCTACCCAGATCTGCAGCTGTGCAGGTGCTGGGGTGAGGGCAGGCGAGGGGAGACGGCTGCTGGGAGAGGAAGAGGCAGGAGGAATCAGTCACAGCACGTCTTGTCTGCTTTATCCTCCCTCTTTGCAACAGCCTCTTGTGCCCCACTGCACTGTTCTGGTTACTCCATCAAGAGAATAAACTTGGTATTCTTCGCCTACCTCTAACCTTTGTGATGACCGTTTATTGGAGCTATATGTAGTGTGGATTTTCTTTTGCAGTAAAGGACTAAAGTGGTTTTTAAATGATTGACAAGGCTTATCGGTGGCTTCTAAATCACATTTGAGTAGGTCTGGGGAACTTCAGCTGCAGTGCTGCTCCTCAGCAGGCTGAAGTTTCATCTTTCATTTAGAGAAGGCCCTGGATCTTTCTAAACGTTGCCTAGCAGTGAAGGAGACAGAGCTATAAAAGACAGCATTTTCAGCATGCCACTGAAAGTGAAATTGTGGCTGGTCCAGCCACACTTAGGCTACAAACAAGACTTCTTTGCAATGGTTGTCATGGGCCTGGTGCTGGGATCTCATGCCTACCTATTGAATTAAAAAGAATTATAATAGTACTTAGGTCTCTGATTTGCAAAGGGTGCTTACTCTTTTAGTGTCTGAAACACAGGAAATACTTTTGCTTTGGGCCACTGTTTTTAATCAGCCTTCCCTTGCATTTGAGGGTTTTCCAGAGTGTCCTGAATTTGCAGAAGGATTTGGAAGGACACAAGCAGGGTGCTGCTACACTGCGCTGGAAGGAGCATAGGAAAGGATTTGGCGATAAGGTTGAGAAAGAGAAAACATGGCATCTTCTGCAGAGCAAAAGAGGTGGAAGATTAGTGACGGTGCACGCCAGAGGGCTGCTGGAGAATTGGAGGGCTTTGACATTCAGACCTGCTGGGGAAGATGTGTGTCATCAGCAGTAGGCACCCAGGGGAAACAGCCACCTCACAGCCTGTGTTTCTAACAAGCAATAAAAAGCCACTTCACATAAATGCAGTGCAATTTTCTTTTCCTTCTAGCAGGTTTATTTTCCCCTCCTATCATAAGTGCCATGGGGATTGCTCACTGGGGGATGATACCCTGGGAAAAATGGGCGAGTGTTGCCAGTGCTGGGCCCAGTGGGTTTCTGTTCTTTGCTAAGACACATTCCTAAAAGGCTGGTGAATCCAATAGAGAGTAGCAGCAGGTTATTCTGGGGGACAGAAGACAACCAACAAGGAGAGGCCTCCTGCTCTTCAGGTTTCCCTGCTAATCTGGGGATATGCCTACGTCCCCAGTCTGTGACTGTTCTGCAAGTATGCGCATGGCTTCAGTCACCAGGGGAAATTCAAGCTCAGAGTTTCAGAGCAGGGATTCTTTCAAACAGGCACAACGAAAACCTGTTTTGACCTGATTTGCAGCTCTGTTTCAGTCAAGCCCTCATTTAACTGACCCTGTAAAACATGCAAAAGTTCCACCAGATTCGTGCTGTCCCTCATTTTCCAGCCAGTCCTAAGCAGAGCAGAGTCTCCAGAACCAAGAGTCATTTCTGAGAAACCTGCAACCCAGAACATGCATGTACATAATGTCTATAGCAACTACTTCATTGCATCCATTGCCATTTGAGAGGGGACTGCATCAAACAATAGAGTTACTGTGCACTATCAAACTCTCAGACAACTAATTAGGTCAGGAACAGAAGGAGCAAATGGATAGATGATTCAACTGTTGTTCATAAGACCCAAATGACAAGAAAGATGCCTCATCTACATTCCTCATCATCAGTAAGGATACGGTTTGTGTAGTTTTGACTATAAAGGCAATTTAAAAAAAAAATTATGCCACTGCCCACTGAAATATTGCTTTGGAGTTAAGCTAGGCTCTGCTAAATCAATGGCCTGCCTGACCTATATATTCTGCCTATTGACATGCAGCCTGCTTTACTCTTTTGGCAGTTGTTTCAGTAAAAATTCAATGGGCTGATCTCAAGAGGCCAAGGACGGGCCAATTGCTAGAAATGGAAAACAAGTTTAGTGCCAGTGATCTGCCCTGACATGGGATTGCCACCTCCATGGCATTGTCACGCTCTAGTACTATTCTCTTTCCTGCACAAAAGGTTTCAGCCCCAAGCATAGAGGAGGAAAAGGAGGCAGCATCCACTTTTTTCCCCCCTTCCTAACCTC